TAATCACTACATTTGTGCTAAGAAAATCAACACAAAATGAAAATCCAGGCAAAGTCACGCTAGTATATTCAACTCTTCCTTGTTAGAAAATCTTTTGTTCATGATCTTAAATATAAAAAGAGGTGTATGTAAACTAAAGTGTGTGTTGGATGGGAACCATCCTTCAGTGTAATCTTCTGTGGAGAAAGTAATGATTCACATCTGGGGAGGAGTAATCCCAGGCACAGCCACACGTTGGGCAGAGAAGAGATTCAGAGCAGGCCTGCCAAGAAGGACCTGGGGGTGTTGGTAGATGAGAAAATGAACATGAGCGAGATTCAGTGTGTGCTCGCAGCCCAGAAAGCCAACCGTATCCTGGGCTGCATCAAAACGAGCGTGACCAGCAGGTCAAAGGAGGTGATCCTGCCCCTCTGCTCTGCTCTTGTGAGACCTCACTTGGAGCACTGTGTGCAGTTCTGGTGTCCTCAACATAAAAAGGACATGGAACTGTTGGAACAAGTCCAGAGGCCACGAGGATGATCAGAGGACTGGAGCACCTCCTGTATTAAGACAGGCTGAGGAAGTTTGGGCTGTTCAGCCTGGAGAAGAGATGGCTGCATGGAGACCTCATAGCAGCCTTCCAGTATCTGAAGGGGGCCTCTAAGGATGCTGGGGAGGGACTCTTGATCAGGGACTGTAGTGACAGGACAAGGGGAAATGGGTTAAAACTTAAAGAGGGGAAGTTTAGATTGGATATAAGAAAGAAGTTCTTTATTGTGAGGGTGGTGAGGAACTGGAATGTGTTGCCCAGGGAAGTTGTGAATGCTCCATCCCTGGTGGTACTCAAGACCGGGCTGGACAGATCCTTGGGTGGCATGGTTTAGTGTGAGGTGTCCCTGCCCATGGCAGGCGGGTTGGAACTAGATGATCTTAAAGTCCTTTCCAACCCTAACTCTTCTATGATTTTATGCTGAGTTTTCTATTGTCCTTGCATGAAAAGCCAAAAATTTCAGCTTTGGTGAGCTTAGGAGCTGCACTAATTAATTTGATTAATGCTCAAAATTCAGCAAGTAGGAAAGAGGAATTATAAGTTTAGATGTTTTCATTTGTTCCAGCCAGCTGACTGGAAACAAACTGGATCACGCTATAGGTCATGGTGCTTTTTTAACCACGGTGTTTTTTGTAGAACCCCACCCCAAAGATGTAGCAATAAGAAACCCATTACAAGTTCTTTGAACAGTAGTACAATGTCTTTTTCTAGTTGTGAGGGATTTTATCCCTAAGATCTGCTGTGTGAAAAAAGGACATGGTATCACAGAGTTACAGTTGGGATGATGCTGGAAGATAATATTCAGCAATAGCAGTCAGGACCATAGAGCCTCCTATGGCTCCTGTAAACCTAATTTTTGTGTATATCATAACATTTGAGTGAAAAAGGAAATCTAAATTAGATAGTGCAAGAGATTGTAATCAGTCTTTGAAAGATGAGTTTTATGTCTCAGAGATGTTATATTTATGTACTCCTTAACCCGACCTAGCTTTCTTTTTCTAGTGTATCAAAGATAAGGACATATCTGTGCAAAAAGTGGAGACCTATTTGCACTGTTCTCACACAGATGGTGTTTTATCTGAACTTTTGAATCAGTATCTACTTTTTAGATACCTGAAAATGTTTTTCTCCTTAAACTGTCAGAAATATTTTATTCATTAATAAAGTATTTATTTTAGTCCTCCAAATGTTAGGTGAAAGGATTTCTGAAGAGTTAGTGCTAACGAATACAAATATAATTTCTTTCATATTCTCTCATTCAGCTCTGATCTGCCAATATTTCTATTGGCATTCCATCACAACTGTTTTACCTGTTTCTTGAGAACATGAAAGAATCCTCTGTGAATGCCAGTTTGTTGGCAAGCTATTTATTTATAGAATCATAGAATCATAGAATAATGAGGGTTGGAAAGGACCTTAAGATCATCCAGTTCCAACCCCCCTGCCGTGGGCAGGGACACCTTACACTAAATCATATCACCCAAGGCCTCGTCCAACCTGGTCTTGAACACTGCCAGGGATGGAGCATTCACAGCATCCCTGGGCAACCTATCCCAGTGCCTCACCACCCTAACAGGAAAGAATTTCCTTCTTATATCCAATCTAAACTTCCCCTCTTTAAGTTTTAACCCATTACCCCTTGTCCAATCACTACAGTCTCTAATGAAGAGTGCATCTCCAGCATCCCTATAGGCCCCCTTCAGATACTGGAAGGCTGCTATGAGGTCTCCATGCAGCCATCTCTTCTCCAGGCTGAACAGCCCAAACTTCCTCAGCCTGTCTTAATACAGGAGGTGCTCCAGTCCTCTGATCATCCTCGTGGCCTCCTCTGGACTTGTTCCAACAGTTCCATGTCCTTTTTATGTTGAGGACACCAGAACTGCACACAGTGCTCCAAGTGAGGTCTCACAAGAGCAGAGCAGAGGGGCAGGATCACCTCCTTTGACCTGCTGGTCACGCTCGTTTTGATGCAGCCCAGGATACGGTTGGCTTTCTGGGCTGCGAGCACACACTGAATCTCGCTCATGTTCATTTTCTCATCAACCAACACCCCCAAGTCCGTCTCCGCAGGGCTGCTCTGAATCTCTTCCCTGGCCAACCTGTAGCTGTGCCTGGGATTGCTCCGACTGCAAAACCAAATTGGTTTGTAGCTGAATTAATTGCAGGGATCTCTAGGTAGTGGCTGGTTACCAAATCCCTGGTAAAAGAATGCTAATAAAAGAAGATGGGCCAGGATTTGTCCATTCAATCTTATGATGAGTCTCAGTAATTTCAGTGATACAAGATGTGGCCAGAATCAAAGTGAAAGTTTCAACACAGCTTATTATCTTTATCTGTAAACAGCTGTTTATTGTGTTAGACAAAACAAACCACTGGATAGCTATAGGATAAACGTGTTTAAATCTGTTACCCAGACTGGGTGGTACAGTAAGTTATATGATAATTAGAGGATGAATATACTTAGGTTAATTGCTAGCTAACAATATTATGTTGTTGCATGGTACAATATGTGCCAAGAAAAGCCTGTATATTTGTCTCTACTGTTAACACAAAAACCTGTGCTCCAAAACATAACAAAGAAAAGGCATGTTTGAAATATTTCCATTCTCCTTCTGAGGGACTGTGTTTCAACATATGGTGTCAGTAATGAAAAGATAGCCTACGCAAGAATACCTTCTGTCTGTACTGTCATCATAATTCTTTTTAGATTATGGAAAACACTTCAGGTCACTTTCATCATCTTGCTCTTCTTCAATTTGTCAAAACACATTTGTATCAGTCTATCAATTCAGTATCACTTTTAATGAAAGATTGTACAAGTTTGGACATTTTTTGAAAGACTAGGTACTTTAGCTCAGGCAGAGACTGGACAAACAGATGTGGCTGTGAATAACAGCTTGAAGTACCCTGTTTTCAGTCACCAGGTGATGAAGTTACTCCTCTTATAAGTCATCGTAATTACATACATGTGCACTATTGCAGAAGCATTTATTCAATTGGTACTTGTTTGGAATCTTGGTATTGTAAATACAGGGCTTTTGGAAGTTTATTTTGATAGTTTGGCAGCTCTGATAACATAATCATAGAATCAGCCAGGTTGGAAAAGACCTTTAAGATCATCCAGTCCAGCCCTTACCACAGCACTGCCAAGGCCACCACTAACCCATGTCACTGAGGGCCTCATCTACACAGTTTTTGAACACTTCCAGGGACAGTGACTCCAGCACTGCTCTGGGCAGCCTGTTCTAATGCCTGAGCACCCTTTGGGGAAGGCATTGCTCCTCATCTCCATCTAAACCTCCTCTGGCGCAGCTTGAGGCCGTTTCCTCTTGTCCTGTCTTTTGTTCCATGAGAGCAGAGACCAGTCCCTTCCTGGCTCCATCCTCCTGTCAGGCAGTTGTAGGGAGCGATAAGGTTCCCCCTGAGCCTTCTGTTCTCCAGACTAAACCCCAACAGGTCCCTCAGCCATTCCCCATCACACTTGTACTCCAGGCCCTGCACCAGCTCCGGTGCCCCTCTCTGGCCCTGCTCTAGCACCTCAATGTCTCTCTTGCAGTGAGGGGCCCAGAGCTGAACACAGGATTCTAGGTGCAGCCTCACCAATGCTCAGTGCAGGGGAACAATCACTGCTCTGGCCCTGAATCCACACTGGTGCTGATACAGGCCAGGGTGCTGGTGGCTTCCTGGCTGCCTGGGCACAAGCTGCTCGTGTTCAGCTCCATCAATCAACACCCCCAGTTCCTTTCCCATGAACAGTTTCCAGCCACTGTCCCCCAAGCCTGGAGCATTGTATGGGGTTGTTGTGGCCTAAGTGCAGGATCCTGAACTTTGCCTTGTTGAACCTCATGCCATTGGCCACAGCTTATTGATCCAGCCTGCCCAGATCCCTCTGCAGAGCTTCCTACTTTCCAGCAGATCAACGCTCCCACCTGACTTGGTGCCATCTGCAAATTTACACATCCCAGTAGGGAGCAGTACGGAGCAGTACGGAGCAGTTTGCACCAGTACAGACTAATATAGGTCACTATGGCCCTGGCCCCAGATACTGCTGGGTTTTCAATATCCCAGTGCTCCCAGTCCCTGCTGCAGGTGTCTTCCTGCTTGCTGCCATGCTCAACTCCCAATCCCTCCCAGTGTTCCCACTACCTGTTGCAGGTGCTCCCAGCCCTACTCAGTTTTTCCAGCCCTCCCCCCCCAGTGCTCCCAGTCCCTGCTGCAGGTGCTCATGCTCATCCCCCACCCGACCTCCTTGCTGGTGGTCTTTTTGGGGGAACACCCCAAATTAGGCACCCACCCACTCTGGGGCTGCCCACTGGCTCCCTGATACTGGGGGGAGTGTGTGTTGGGGTGTCCCATGGGGTGTGGTTTGGGGGCAACAAGGAGCATTTTGGGGCTGGTGGCTTTGCGGGGGGGGGGGGAAGAGCAGATAAGCAATAATTGGCCATGGTACATTCTTTGGAACTTTACACAGATTTTATTTAAAAGCATAACAACATAAATAGCTCTGTGTGAAGTACTTTTACAGACATGCATGTGGACAGCTTTTATAATGACAGAAAAAGAACTTCATTACTTCATCTTTGTAAATAAGAACTAATTTCCCAAATATTTTGCTTTTGGACTCATTCACTTGTAGTTGGGGATAGGAGGGACAAAATTCTCTAATTATTTTAGATAATTCAAACCTGTTGAGGAAAAGAAGACAAATCTAATAGCTTGTACCAATCTGATTTGAGGAAAACGCTTCATTGACCTCACATCTGAAGCTTGATTTAATATGAAGAAGACACTTGAGCTGGGCACTCTGGTAGAGTAAGAGCAACTGCATATCAGTCTGACATCCTCTATCAGCTGCAGCCATGGTCAGTAGTCAGTGCTCTAAGGAAAGCAAACAAAAAAAACAGAAGCCAAATTATACATCTAAAGGGAAACAGTTTCTTCTCCTACACTGCAGGCAACCAGCAGAGCACCTCAGAATGGGATTTCATACGCTGTTAGAAAGAAACAGGCAACAAATGGTCCTTTCAGTCTACACCATGCCATATCTACAACAACAATCTGTACAGCCAAGAACTCATATTACAAAGTTATTTTTTAAATTCCAGGATTACCCTGACTTCAGTCATAGAGCCCTTTCCAGAAATCACACTAAACTTGTTAAAGGAAAGGATGGTGGCTTGAGATATTACAATAGGATTTTGATTCTGTGGGAGAACCGTCCCAAAAGAAAAGATCTCATATAGGCAAGCTCATGCCACATTAAAACTGCTGAAATTCTCAAGACATTGTCATATAAAGGATTTCCCCCCCCCCCCCAGTCTTGATTAAACAACACAGCATCATCTTGGATGTGTGCATCTCTGGGGAAAAACGAAAAGGGCCTTTTCTTACTATTCATATATTTGAAGCTTGTGGTGTCCTAACGCCATGTTGCTAAGTGAGAGCATTAAAAAGTTGGAACTACTTTTTATTCAGCTATATTTCTACTGAGGTAGCATGAAAATATGGTGTCATATAAAAATACTAAATTTAAAAGAAAAAATTGAGTTTATGGGTAAATAAGTGGTTACAAAGAGTTATTACAAATTTAGGATAATATTTTTAAGAAGCAGTTATGAAGTGGTGCTCTGTCATTCTTAAATTAGTATTATGCTTAGAGACACCCAGCATGAGGTTTATGATCAGCTAAAGGACTAGTGCAGCAGAGATCAAATAACATACTTCATAGTCTGCTATTCAGGATATTCAATTTTGTGAACAAGATACTTAAATTGTCTTTGATTTCAATATTGTTCTGAAAAGCTAATGGTGAAGAAATAATAGTACTTTTGTAGTAGTAATGATGTTAGAAATATTAGAAGTATTTAGAAGTAATAATAGTACTTTTGTTCATGTCTGTATGTGGAACAAACAGGTAGAACAAAAGGAATGATCTCTGATGCTGGACAAGATTTCATATTATGTACTGAACAGCACGCAATGAATGATAATTCTGATGGTGTTTACTATTTGAAGATAATATATAGCACAGGACAGATTTAGACTCAGTTATAGTATGAATTTAGTTGGTTAATGTGTACCTTTACTTGAGCATAGTTTCCCTTTTCAGTCTAATTGTGTTTGCTTTCAGTTTTGTGTAATTAATTAAAAGTCTGGTTAATGCAAGAGAAATGGCATGTCCAACAGTTTCTCACAGATGTCAATTGAAATGAGCAATCAATGCCATATGACAATGACAATTCTGTAAATCATCTTTTGACCTGATTTGCCTCTAAAAGAGTTTATGCCAAAAATATTTATTCTAATACAAGCACATACTGACCATTTTTATCCCACCCACAAGCAATTCATCCTTAAGTTTTAATGCATAAAAAAACTCTTCGGAATTATCTGGAAGTTTTGTTTGATAAAGGAGTCCAGTTTTAGCTGCTAAGCCAGCTAGTTCCAGAATCAATTTTTTATTGTTAGTGTAATATATTATATTATATTCCCTCTACCATTACTACCAGCAATGTCAATGATAGCTACTGATTACCTTCTATATTATTAGGAATAGGGAATACTTGTGCCCAACTAGTAGAAACTTGAGGTCTTGGATCAACCAGTGTACTGCAGTGAAAGTGGAATAACTCATGGGATAAAATTCTCATTTAAGAGCAAAAAGATCTATTCTTTTTCCAGTGAAATTTCCATATTTCTCTCAGCATACTTATTTCCTAGTAAAGAAAAATAATTTTAATTACACAGAAAGAATGTAAGCATAAAATTATTACATTTCTTTTATGGAAACTAAAAAAATACACAGTATAATTAAAAATAACATTGCATCATTAATGAAAAATTCATTGACTGTCCCCAGTACTTGACAAGAAGGAGGGAGGAATCTGGAATATTGAAAGAAGCCTCTTATTGAAAGAAATATTTAATTATACTAGAAGTTTCATTTTTATACATTGTACGGTTTAATACCATCCTAGCAAAGAAAAGAAAAAATGTATTTGTACTTTTTTTTGAGTCTTTATGGTGAAGAAAACAAGCAGGAATGGTTTGGCAGATATTTTAGATTGTTTGCTTTAAAGCTGGGTTTGTGCTTATTTTCAGCCGAGAACTATCATGAATAAGAAACAGTTGTTTCTCTGTTTTTTTTCCTGGGGGATCCCTTTGTCTCAAGAGGACTAGAAAGGAATCTTTCACAAAGATTTTCTCTCAGTTGTGGTATTGCTGATGTCAAGCATGTAAAAATCATGAGTCAGCACTCCAAAAATCACAGGACTGTATTAAAAAAAGAAAATCTTTTAAAATATACATGCTGCACTTTTTACGAAAATGTATGGCATAATTTTTATACTTTTCCTGCAAATGGAAATCTTACTTTTTAAAGCAAAAGAAGAAAAAAGAAGAAATGGATGAGCTTTCTCAAAAATTTGCATGACTCCCAGAAAAGGGTTTTGGAGAACATTTGAAGCATTATGAACAATGCAGCGTAATTGCAGGTGTTGGCAACATGGCAGTTATTTGTGAGAACTTTGATCTAAATTGAGGTCAATAAAAACAAATGAAAAAACTGACAGAAAAAAACGCAAAGAAACCTTCCTTTGCATTTCAGAAGCTTGGGCTGCTGTAATACCATTTGTTCTGCAGTCCTCCCAAGAAATCCTCAAGCACAAATTCAGGAGAATAGGCCTCATGTCTTTAAGGTTAAATAAAAAGACATCTACACATCTGATTACCAGATACTAGATAAAGTCAGATAATGACAACACTCTGATTTTGGCAAAAAAAGAATAGGCAAACTAGTGCAGTTGCTGCTGTTAGAAAGGTATAAGACCTCTACCACAGTTTAAAAGACAAAGACTATTTGAACCTAACATCATGGTTTCTGGCCAGAAAAAACTACAATTATTTTTAAAAATATCACCTCACTCACATTCAATGATCACAGAAAATGGAAACATTTTAAGGAGTAATTGTAAACATCTGCTAAAGGAAAAACGAAAACATGACTAAGATAGAAATGAGCTGTAAAGTATTGTGTGAACAGAAAATGGAAACTAAAAAACACAATTTCTGAGGATGGGTTCTATTTGGAATGTAAAAAAAAAATAAAATCATTATTATAAGAAAAGATTAGAATCCACCTAAACCCATTTTACTTTCAGTGAGTCTGGCCATCTATTCAAATGTCAAGGAACGTGGCTACACTTGCAGTTATGCAGCAGCTCCTGCCCCTGCTGCTTCTCCTGCCTTTGTTCCAGCAGAAGTGTTTCTGCAGGCACAGTGAACTGGACTCAAACTAATCTAACTTTTTCTTTTTTTTTTTTTTTTTAACTAGGTCATTTTTCAGCTGGGCTGGTTAAGAAAAAGCCAATGGCAGTGCAGACGGTGGTGACAGCTCATACGGAAAAGCTGCTAGATTTCTAACTAGTACCTCAAAATACTGATTTCAAAATCAGTGCTGTAATGCCAGCATAAATGAAGGTAAATCAGATCCTTCTGTTTGTTAGAAAATGTTCTCCCAATCTGAGGGCTAGAAATGAGTGGAAAACATCTATAGATCTACACCTCAGCACAGTGTGTAAAGTTGTTGAGCAGCTTGCAGGACACAGGGCTGCTTTGTGAGATCTATTGACTCCAGCACAGAGAAACAGTGACTGAGTTAACACAGAAGAGAAAATGAAGGTGTGAGTCGCCCAATTTTCCAGGTATAACTATGCCAGTTAAAGACGTTTCCATGAACAGCTCATACCACTGACTGTGGAGATACAATGCCACGTGTCCTTTGGCACAAATCATGTGCACATTTTATAAAATACTGCAGGCAGCCTGGTTTGCTCAAGTCACCTTTTCTTAATGCCAAACATTACATCTAAAAGCAGCTGTTCTGATTGAAAGTGTTTTATCACTGTCCATTGGTAGAAGCTTGCAACTCCCCCAGCTCTGCTGGCTGACCAATTAATTTTAATTATTCCTAGTCCTTCTGTAACTGGGGAAAATCAGCCAGATTAGATGTGGCTGTGGGCAGATAAGCTGTGCTGGGTTAAAATGTTAGTGAACACAGGTGTCTTGCATTGTCTAACCATGCTGCAGCTTTCCCTGCCCAGAGAAGTCCACAGACTGTCTATCAAACAGCTTATATGTTATTATTTTTTTAAAAACTGGATTAACCTGTTGTTTTAATTCACTGCATTATTATAGAAATGCCAGTCCTTCTGTATGACAGTGGAAATACTGGGGAAACAAATACCTGCTGGTAATGTAGATGTGATTCTTTGTGCTAGTAGTACTGCTGGTTTGAGTACAAGACAAGCCACCAATTAGAAAAACAGGCCCACAGTTTTCAGACTTGACCAGAACTGAGAATGTGAAAAGGAACTTCCAGGAAATGGGAGTTCTGGGAGAAGACTCCAAGAGACTTTGCTGACTGGATCTTAAAAAAAAACCTCTGAAATTATAAGAACAAAGCAGATTGATGTCAACAACTTGTTGGGGTTTATACTTGGGTTATGAGCTAGCAGTGTGCGCTTGCAGCCCAGAAAGCCAACTGTATCCTGGACTGCATCAAAAGGAGCGTGACCAGCAGGTCGAAGGACGTGATCCTGCCCCTCTACTCCACTCTCGTGAGACCTCACTTGGAGTATTGTTGCAGTTCTGGTGTCATCAACATAAAAAGGACATGGAGCTGTTGGAACAAGTCCAGAGGAGAACCATGAGGATGATCAGGGGACTGGAGCACCTCCCGTATGAAGACAGGCTGAGAAAGTTGGGGCTGTTCAGCCTGGAGAAGGGAAGGCTGCATGGAGACCTCATAGCAGCCTTCCAGTATCTGAAGGGGGCCTATAGGGATGCTGGGGATGGACTCTTCATTAGGGACTGTAGTTATAGGACAAGGGGAAATGGGTTAAAACTTAAAGAGGGGAAGTTTAGATTGGATATAAGAAAGAAGTTCTTTATTGTGAGGGTGGTGAGGCACTGGAATGGGTTGCCCAAGGAAGCTGTGAATGCTTCATCCCTGGTGGTTTTCTAAGAGGGCTGGATAGAGTCTTGGGTGACATGGTTTAGCGTGAAGTGTCCCTGCCCATGGCAGGGGGGTTGGAACTAGGTAATCTTAAGGTGTTCCAACCCTAACTATTCTATGATTCTATGTGCTAGCTCTATTGCTAAGTTATAGGAGTTTGGAACCCTGAAGAAAAGACTGTGATGGTGGAGATTGTGTGGTATTTAATGCTATCATGTTCTCTTATATCTCAAAATATGCATGTAGATGGTGTTCAGGGGAGTATGTTTTTGCTTCTAGGTGTCCAGAAAACAAGTATGTGCAGACCTGAGGACAATGAGCAAGTTGCTTCCATGTGGGTGTCAATTGAATCTGCTCTGGAAATGCAGCAGAGAGCATAATTTACTTAAACTCCTAAGCAACCAAAGTCAAATACTCATAAAAAGCATCTTTCTAACGGATTTCCTTGGAATATGGCACAGGATTTCAGATCTGTAGTAAAGATTTTTGAAGATCTTAAAATCTATAAAATATTGAATGTGTATTGCAAACTGCATCTTTTTGGTAGTTTGGAAATGGAGAATTGCCTGCTGGTTTAAGCTTGTGGCCAGGAAGAGAATAAGAGGAGTTATACAATAAGTCAGCAAAGAACCAGCTTTTGACATTCTCACAAAGAATTGCAAGGAAGCTAGTGTTTCCTGAGAAAGTTATTCCAATCTTTTTATCCAGGTTGAAGAACCCAAATCGAAACCTATTTTCTGATACTAGAATCTCCACTATTGATAGAAGATGGTACACAGAACACAGGTAGAAATAAAATTTTTGCTTACATTTAAGGAATTAAGGACTTCCAGAGGTGTCATAAAACTAGTAAATCTTATTAAACTGGAATTATCATCCTGAATACTTGTACCTAGTAGGAAAATTAATGGCGCTCAAACCTGTCATTTTAATTACATACCAGCCCTCCAGGTTCAGGGTGTCCTGCCTTAATTAAAACTGTAGGTCACAAGCCATGGGTTCCATGATGAATAAAGTATGGCTTTAGGCTCCTGTTACTGTGTCAAAATGGTGCAATGAAATGATGCAAAGTACTGAAGTGGACTAAAGTCATTCTCTTGGTTTAAAATTTGTTTAAAAAAAATTTATACTTTCTACTCACAGACTTTATGTGTGACTAGAAACCATCTTTCCAACATCTAATTTTAATCCTAATTAGTGCTCCCCATTTTTACCATAGAATGGAAACCATAGAGCTGAAAAAAATTGCATATATGGTATGTTTTGGCTGTTCTTATACAGATGCCACTGTAAGACTATGACCAAGAAATACTCATCATACATACTGAGGAAGTATTGATCATAACAGACCTATTATTAACAGTGGTAGAACCACAACAGTCTAAAGATTGTTTTTTCTAAGTCAATTATACCAGTTTAAAACTTGGCCCACACCTCTGTCTCCTCCTGATATATTTGATTATCATATTTAAATTACCAGGAACTAGAAAAAGAAAGCATAAGTATGAAGATTAATATACTTCCATGGTCTGCATATTTTGAGTGTAACAAGTTACAAACTGTGATTACAGGCCTTTTCCAAACTTAAAAATATTTGCACTGTAGAAGGTAGTTTAAAGAAAAATGACTAAATAAAAGTTTAATCTCTCAGTGCTATTTTGCGTTTCTTCATTGTCTCTCCACTTGGAGCTCTGGTCTTATCAGATGGAAACCAGAATGTTGATCTTAATCACTGACAGTAAATGTGACAACCTGTACTTTCAGCAGTTGTGTTTGTTAGTTTTAGGGAACAGAGATATGGAGATGTTAGAGGACAAAAGAAGATACCTGGATTCCTGCATGGAGTTCAGTGAGAGTCCTAGAAACTGCCTAAGGGTACAACATTTCCATTTTCTGAGTTTTATGAGGGATTTTTTGGTTTGTAGTTTGTTTGTTTGTTTGTTTTTTCTTTTTTTTTTTTTTGGGGGGGTGTGTTTTTTGTTTTTTTTTAATTAAACCAAAATTAATCTGGAATAACTTTGTGTACATCAGCAGTGTTGTTCAGATACACTAGCCCAATTAATGTGGAGTTATACTGGGCAGAGTTGTTATTAGAACATTGCCACCTTTTAGGCACAGTTTAGGAATTCAGCTCAGTAAAAGACACAGTGTAGATATTACACTGGCTTCACATGCAGACACTTTGCTTAAAAAAAAACCCCAAGATTAATGAGATGGAAATATTTTTCTGCAGGGCCATGATGCACTTTTTTCCAGTATGAGGGAAGCAAAACTGGAATATGATTGATGAGCCAGAAGGATATCAGTCTTTGTTACTGGCTCAGAAAGCTTGGAAATAGGAAAAGTGACAGCAAAATTCAACCTTTTTGTTTTCAGTCCTGCAATATACTTCATGTCTGAAGATACAGACTTGTGGTTTCATTTTACTGTTGTCCATGGAGGGGGGATAGTCAGGGGGAAGGGGGTTAGTGAGAAAGAGACTGCATGGTCTGATTTACAGCTGGGCTTAAACCATGACAACTGTCTTGGTTCATCTGCATTGGACTGCAAAACATTAATTTAACTAAACAGCATTAGCATGGCTTTCAGTTCCGCCATACTAGCATAGTGTCTCTTTATGTTAATGAATCTTCTACCAGTTTCAGTGGGCAGTTTTATTTCATATGAGGAGGATTGAGAACAGTTTCCTAGTCTGAGCTCTTTACAGCGGTGCTGAAGTCCTGCAGTAGGACACTAACAACATCACAATGGCAAATGTGACAATCTGTCAGTGCAAGCCCTGCAAGCACAGGACTGTGCATGGCACCTCAGTATCTTTCCAAGGCTCCCCCGCTGTCCATGGGGCCCCCATGATTTCTAATGCTCCTGTTACCCATATTCATCTTTAGCATAAACATGACATTGGTATTTTCCTTTAGAAAAACTGGATAAAGGAAAAAGACTTTTCATACACAAAGCTGACATCCAGAAGCTGCATAAGGACCCCAAAAGTCTACCTAGGTTCACTTAGAAACAAGAATAGGACTAGAGTTTGATCTTCATCCTAAAGACACAGAGCTGTTTGTTTGAGGTTTAGTTTTGGTTTGTTTTGGTTGGGTTGTTTTTCTGTTTGTTTGTTTTTTTTCCTGAACAGTTAACTTTAAGGGGAAATAATTATAAAAAGTCTACATGCTTACTTTTAAACACAGCATTTTTTCCACTCTGCCCCAAGTCTGACATTTTAATGACCTGCTTTGCCCTGGTTTTTACTGGCAGCATATACTGAAGGGGTATTTTATGTACAGTTTTAACATTTGAACAGCACAGCTCCATGTTCTGTCACTCTTTTATGTTGTAGAAAATGTCTTTTTTTATTTCTTTTAATTGCTTACTAATTTGAGGGAATTTTTGCAAATGTCTTTAGAAACTTCCAGATTTATCACTGGTAAAGGTTATTAATTTAAGAAGAGTAAGCAAACTAAAAGCTGCATATATTCACTCAAATTACTATCCTAAATGACTCCATGGGGGGTTTCTTATAGGGGTCACTGAATGGCAGAAAGGAATGTTTTTACTTCTTTGCTTTGTCACAAAAATTAAGTTACAAGGGCTATAAATGAAGGTAATATTTTTTATTACTAGATTTTCCTCTATAATGAATATAACATTTATTCTTTTCATGTAATGATACCCACTGAATGTCTTGATACTTAGCATGTTTACTCTTACCTTTAACAAGGGCCTAAAGTAATTCCCCTTTAAAAGGCTCACAAGCAATCTGAAGGCAAGAAAGAAACCCAGTATGGCAGGGTTGCTGCTGGAAGTGGAAGACTGAAGGGTGACACTGTCTTTCCCACTGCCAACAAGCTCATCAATAACACCAGTCCTTCAGCTGGTGAGGTAGCGAGAGGTGAAAACTAAAACCAGAAAATTCACAAGTCTGAACTGGAAAGACCAGAAAATTTTGCAATGCAAAATACAAAATCAGTCACATATTTTCTTGCTATAAACCACATTGCTCTGTGCCATTCTGCCAGAATCCGCTTTTACACGATTCTCCAGTTCCAAAAAAGACTGTCTTGTTATCGCTCTGAGATTTGGGCCACATTGTTAAACTGGGATAAGCAGCTCCAACCTCAGCAAGGCTGCATACTCTAACAGCTGATCCAGTGAGCAGGCTACAGTTGTTCAGTACAGCTGGGCTCACAAGGCTCTCTCTTCAGGGGATTACACCTCCTTCCCAGAACTGCTCTTCAAGAAGGCATTAATATTCTCTGAAAGGCAGCCACTCATCTGTAGCTCTGTAAGGCTGATCTACTTTGATCTTGGCCTCAGAAATAGAATGATAAGGGATAAGAATTCAAAGTATAAGAAGAAACTCAATATGCAAAGAATGTTCCATATCTTAATAAGTAATGAGAATTCCCTCCATTTGTTGCTGTTGTAAGGAAAAATAGTTAAATACCTTTATGTGATTAGGACTCCACAGTACCTTGCTAATGAATGGCCAAAGCTATTAAGATTTTCCTGTGTCTCCAGATAGACTGGCAAACAAGCATCAATAAGCAATGACAAGTCTAGGACTGACTAAGATTTTGATCTGGCAAGTATTTTATTAATGTGGCTAACATGTTGAGTTATTTTGATTGTACACCCAGTAAAGCAAATATATAACACAGAATTTCAATATTTTCTTTACAAGCAATTTGAGGATTAAGGAAATGACCAGTAATGAACGGTGTCTTTTTAACAAAGTTTATCGCAAATGACCCCAGATTGTGGAGTGTTTACTATTCAAGCAGCCGTGTATGGACAGGAGATTCAGAAAATTACCAGTGAGGACAAAATTCCGTGGTTTATAGTGGTTTGCTCAGAACCGAGGAGATATTGTTCACATAAACACTTAGCCTGCAGAGCAATGACAAATGCCAGCAAATTTAGCTTTCATAAGTGTATTTGAGAAAGATTAGCACACACCATTCAGTTCAAGTTTTAGTTTTTGGGTTAGCTGCCTTTGATATTAATCAGCTTTGTTTTTTTCAGGGCCACCTTTTTTGTGTAAGAGCAGTGGGTAATTGCCATGTTTAATAACTCCTACACCAACTAATTCCTTTTTCCAGCAATTGTTTGTTTTAAAGAAAAACAAATTAAGTTTGTATAATTGGAAGAAGAAATTCAAAATTAATGTTGTTTGTCCTTAAAGTGCTAGAAAAGCTTATGTTTCAAGGAGTCACATTGCTCTTTCAGGACCATTTACTGTTTATCAAATTCCTTTCTATTTATTTTTCCAAGTCCTATAAGTACAGTAGGATTTAAGGTCATAGCAAGATATTTTTTCATTTAATCGGCTCAGATGCTAATTGTCACAATGAAGTATAGCATACTAAGGAGAGTGAGATATTTCACGTGCAAATACTGATTTTCTGAGTGTTACAGCAGGAATTACTAGCAAGGATTTTCATCAAGTCAGTATAGAAACCTTGTTTCCTTACTATTCATGACTCACTGATAAACAGTCATGCCATCTCTCTCTAGCATCAAACATAGAAACTACCTAGAAACAGGTTACTAAATTCTCTGCAGTACAGACTGACAGACAGTGATTTCGTTTTCCATTTTGGAAAATGTTTGAGAAGCATCAGTGACTTGTATGATCAAGGCCAAGCATGAAAAACTTGTCAGTCAAGAGAACATCACCCCCTAAAAGTTCCTAAAGCTCTTTCCTTTTTTCTGATTCAAAAGGTGAGTAGCCTTAATTAATTTATTAGTTGGCATCTGTTTAACAGGCATATGTGTGATGGATTTGTGAACGCACCTGGTCTATTTTTAATGTAACCTCCAAAAAGATTTTGATCTTATTTTTAACTTTAACCTTATAAAAATATAACAGCACAAAGAATTCTTACAGTGACTAAACTCTTTTTTTTTTTTTTTTCATTTAAGTCCCAGTTGCAAAAGAATCTAGCTATGACCTGGATTTTAATTTTCTTGGGGATTTTACTAATGCTTGAGGGGAAAAACCTGGTACACTTTCAGCATATTAAATACCTGTTTGTGTCAAAGTAGTCATTAGATTTCTACTTCATTTGATTACAGTACAGTGATACAGCTAGGGGCATGTCTGGATATCTATCATCTTTAGCTATGCTATCATTAGAATATTATTTCTTTATTGTCATTATTGGGTCATGCTACAATGCACCTATATATTGCTCAGTTTTGAAACCACTTAATTACCCTGTCATTGATGCAACATTATTTAATTTTACATTAAAATTGTTTTCCTGGACACCTAAACTAGATTCAAATAAACTGTTCAGTTTTGGCAACCAGGAAGAAATGAAGTCCTTGTAAAAATCAGACTTTGGCGTGAGGAAGTTGGTGATTTTTTTTCATTTGTTTCATAGGGCTCATGGTTTCTATTCTGGAAACTTTATAGCTGCAGTCATCTACGGCTAGAATCTGATTTTTACTGAAGTGCTATAATAATTATACTAAGTATTGTCACTGACAAACAGAAATCCTTGAATGTCACTAAAGGAAAACAGAAACTTCTTTATTGTGGGTTAGTTTCCAAAACTTCATGGTTTGGGTTCTCAAGAATAAGTAAGTGCAAGCTTTTCATTAAAAAAAACAAAACAAAACAAAACAAAAAAACCAACAAACCGAAAAACTACCCCAGGTTTTACATATAATCAGGAAATGTTTCCAACTATTGAAATTATTCACAGAGATGTGATAAAATATTTTGCTAAGGAACTTAAAACTGCCTTCCTGAGAACTGAAGGTTGACAGGTTTAACTAAATACTGTAACAGCAAAACAAACAAACAAAAACCTTTCAGTTCATTTGTGGATTAGTAGTTAATACTCGGAAATCCACAAGCTATGGCTATCTGTGCTCTTATAATTCAAAAGAAGAACTCTATATTTTGTGTTTTTCAAAGGAAGATCTTAATCGCCCCTTTGTAAGCCACCAAACCCTTTATTAAAAGCCTGGGCCCAATCTTCCCTTGAAAGAGTGGCCCCAGCAAACTATGGTCTTTGATCCTAAATTGAGAACAATTCCCACTGAAGGTAATGTTATGGGATTAAGGACTGCAGAATTCGGGCCACTGACTGCTCACGTGAGTAAAGAATAATTTCATGAGATTAAGGAACATTATTATGTTTGATAGCTGTATTCTTATTAACTCTTCTTTGTTATTTATTCAGCTTAAATAAGATGAGTAATATTACCTTGTTGTCAATATCAACATTAGTCAGTGGAAATTAGAGTCAAAATGACTGAAGGGATTTTTTTTTTCTTTTTAATTAAAACTCCTGTTTATAGCATAAATACTATGTACTGTAAAAACAATGACACATTTGCTAGTCAGCTCTTTGACATCATATTTTTAAATAAGTTACTGACAATCTGAATCATTAAACATAATCTTCTATTAACATTTAACTTGGTCCCACACACATACAAGTTGCTTTTCTGCTGTGCTAAATGTGTCTTCGTAAGTGCATTCAGGAAGGGGACCTAGAGAGATAGGACCAGATATCCACTTGGCCTGGCACAGGGTGCTGTGTCATCTAATTGAGAGGGAAGGAAATAATGGAACATATCCCATGCACACACACACCCCCCACACCCCCCCCCCCCCCCCCAATTCTTATGTAAGGATAACGACAAATATAGTATAACATTAACATCTGGGCTGTTGAGTTCACTTTTACAAGCAAACCAGAATAGGAGCATCTCTCATAAATGGATTAGGATTTTCTTCATCCTTAGGAGATTCCTCAGCAGACCTGTATGTTCTCTCTTTAAGAATGCAGGTGAAAGTACTATCCCGTAAGGTTATAGAAGGTAATTTTTCTGAGGTGGGAAGGATGTCTGAACTGGACTGGTTTGCTTCTATGTCACTTCAGTTTATCTGCAAAACCAGGTTTTGTGACAGCTGTGATACTGAGGCACCAGAAACATCATCTGAGGATTTAAAAACAAACAAACAAACAACAAAACCACCCAAACCCCCAGTGAAAAAAAAACACAAAGACATTTAGCTTGCTCTACCTGAACTCTACTCTTGCAGTGGTACATTGCTGATTTCAGGTTTTTGCATTTTTCACAAATAGGAAATATTGAACGAAGCTGGAGCTTAACAGCTTAGCTCTTTCCTTAGAGAGGAAATAGAATTAAAAGCTGCATGTGCTTGGCTTATATTTCATAATACATTTTATTATTAGAATTATAAATTAGGCCCCTGGGCACCAAACTGCAACATAACTAAAAACATAACTAACCAAGGTAAATTGATGCCTGCCCTAATATATTTTACCATCATGGAATACCAGAGACTGCCTTTTGCTATGAGCCCTCTACTCTTAAGTGGGTCTATTGGCACCAGTATTCTACTGCTATAACCAGCCTAGGACTTGAATCTGAGCCATGCTCTTGGTTTTCATCAGTTCATTGCAACTGGAGAGTCTTGTAGCTTTTTGGCTGCCTTTCACCTTCTACAGGTGGTGGAAGGCCAACTGCAAGTATGTGTGTTCTCATTAGTTGTACAATAAGCCCTGAGCTTTTCAGTGCCTAGTGGTGGAAGAGAGATTATCTTGTGTATGTCATTGCACATCTTTCCATGCTGGCATTTAGCAGTAGCATGATTCAGTGGTGCAGGAGTCAGTCTTTTGCATTTTCCATAGGATCATCAGTCAGAAAAGCTGTGAGTGATACAGCCCCATTTCCTTGGATATTATGCAGTTATCGAAATCTTTAAAAACTGGGGTAGTAGCATTACCCCACCACCTTGTGCTTGATGACTACAATCCTGAATGTTTCTGAGGAGAGACAGTTATTTGAATCAAATTGGTTGCCTTCTTTGTAACTTCAGTTTATCTTGTGAAAATACTGTCAGAATAATATATGCTTCCTTTATAACCAAGAAATTCTACTCTTGATCGATAGGACTTACATTTCATTTGTCAGGTTAATGAATTATAAGTCTTCCAGGGTTTTTTAGTGCATTTCAGTCTCTTTTTATGCAGCAGACAGCTGTGACAAGACTGAGGCGGAAAAGTAGCCTAAGCCCTGGTGCTAAATAGAGACTGGTACACTTAAACATCACTAGGCACCCCTTCTATAACAGGTAGAATTACTGAGGATAATGCCACCAACTGTGGCCAGAAGTGATGCTGGGAGAGCATCCTAGAGCTTGGGCTTCACATTCAGAGACAGTCAATATAACTCTGACAGAGGGGTCCAGGGGTCCCATATCCTTATGGGAAGCATATGCTTTGATAGCTCACTTGTTTCAAATCTACAGCAAAGAATGTTATGGTCTAGTGTTCTCAGAAGGTCAGCTAACAGGACTTTAAAATCACAGTACAGGACCTATCTCCCTGCATGTCAGGATTGGCGCTGCAAACAAACAATGCAGCTCCCTGAAGCTTCAAAGAAAGTGAAGTTGATAGGCACCAGTATTTGGCTTTCCAAATTGGGCTGCTATTCTAACTGTGTGCAGCAAGCTCTATACAGAAGAAAATAGTCAGAAAATGCAACCATGAGTTTTTCTGACAATATTTTTTTTCTTGTCCCCTCAGGATTTTATCAAGCAAGGGGTTTTTTTGTTTGTTTTGGGGGGGGGGGGGGTATATTTTGTTTGTTTGTTTGTTTTTTTAATTTACTTCTGGTTTGGGTGCATATGAGGAACATAAAGATTTCACATTCAGTAAGTTGGTTTTGTTCCATAAACATTAACTATGCATGTTAAAGCTGTCCTAGGGCAATCCTGATGCGCAGACAGTAGTGTTTTTATCTTTTCTATAAATATTTGCAGTTGATCATGCATCACAACAGAGCATTCCTCTCTTTCGACTTTGCCCTTTCTTTTAGCTTGTTCATCTGATTTGCAAAGAAGGGGGAAGAAATTTCTATGGAAAGACAAACTGCAGACTCATCTCTGTGTGGATATGTATGTGTATGTTAGTAGTCTGCTGAAAGACTATTTATGGATTTTGGTGAAAAGGCACTGTCTCCATTTTTATGGAGCTAATGAAACCTTTGGGGTTTTGTTTATCTACATACAAAGTTCAGTGGAAAAAAATTACGTGGGAATAGCAAGTAAACATCAGATATATAATGTGACTTAAGTTCTAATTATTGCATTTTAAATGTCATATTCATGTTCTTTCATTTCCTCTGTGAACACTTCTCCAATTTTTGTATGGTACTGTGTTTCAAAACTTCTTGACCAATAAATGGAAGTCTTCTGATGTCATTTATGCTTTAAAAACTCTGCTGCTCTTAGTGTCCAAATATGCCAGCAGCCTTAGGAGTGTGTTTCTGGGTGCCTTAGACTTTTGGAATAGCCAGAAAAATTTTGTCAATCATAGAAAAAAATCATCAAGTCTCAGTGAAACAAAATTTTGTTTGCAAGATTGAGCTTAATATTTTCAAATCACTTTTAGTGGAAAACTTTATACCAAAATATTATTTCCAGTTTTGTTCAAGTATTGCCTAATCCAGCAGTCAAGGCACCCTAAACTAAGCAATTCCCAGTCTGGGAAGGAGTTTTGATCAAATGGTGTCACTAGATCCTAAGTAGAATCCTCTTATTTGTTGACAAGTAAAACAACAGTTCTTCAGTGGGGAAAAAAAAAAAAAAATTATAATTAGTTTTTAATTAGTTGCAGGTCCACTTAAAACTTTTAAATTATCTGACATTTGCATAGGCCCTTTACGTGATCCTAACTTCATGACAGGCTTTACAAAATAACTTAAATATGATATACAAAATACAGGAAAATTTCCCTGGGTTCTACCCTCTGTAAGTTTGTGGAAATTTTTTACCTGGATTAGGATTTCTAATCATTTAAATTGAGCTAAGCTTTCTGCATATTTCTAAATTAATACTCCTGCATTTATTATGTGAAAAGTCTGTGCATTTCAATCATTTTTGAAATAAGCATAGGAAACCTCTAGTTATGGATGGAGAATGTACTGCTGTGGTTTTATTTTTTTGAAGGAATAATTGAACATTACTGGTCTAGTATCACTGTCTTTTCATTTGTCTTTCATCACTATGCCTTTCAATACCATTCATCTATGGACTAATGCAATGCCTGCTGAAGTCAATAGAAGTCATTCAGTTGACATCAATGAACGATGAATCAGACCTTTTAAAAAGAAGAAGAAACTAGAGTTTACTAGGCTTAAACAGAGCGCTGAGGCAAAACAGTCTGAAGCAGGAATTCTGACTTCTCCTGTGTTCGTACAGCACCTGGCACCTCTCTGCTGTACAGAATAGAGACGAAATAAACTAATTATTGGTCTCCACTGGTAGCTCTGATAAGGGAAGGCAGTTCTGCCAGTCAACATCTAAATTGTTTTTCTATACAAAGCCTTAGTAGGTATCAATAATTGTAATACACGGTAAAAATCTGTTCAGATAGGTGTCATTGGTGCAGATGTTGAAAATCTTTTATGTGCTTCTGCACAGCCTTTTCAAATAACTCATACTTTGCTATCAGCCTTTCTTTGTTCTGATTAAGTTGTAATCACTCAAAAGCAGATTCAGAAGCTCCCCCTTCCTTCCTACACAGAGACTGTGTTTGTTTTATATCCAAATGTGACATTGCACACTGGTACAATCAAAAAAGGCTGCAATGATCAATTGAGGTCCCAATCAAAGCTTAACAGATAGGCAGCCATTCATTGCTGTTTGATATAAAAGGTGTTTTATTTCTCATCACTTTTTTGTCACTGAAAGAATGCTTCCTACGTGCAGATTAATTAAAGTGTAAACATTAAATATTGATTGATGCATTATCAGCATGGAGCAGTTGCCTCCACTCAGATTGATTCCTGCAGTGATTTATTGTCATATTTGTGGAGTCATTTCACTCGATAACAAAGAGAAATAGCCTGCTCCCTCTACTTTTCAGGCTTGCTTTCTGGCTCTTGCACTGCACCTCTTCATCCTCTGTGACTCCCTGCTGGAACTAACATGGTCTCATTGTATTTTCAGGAGAAAAGTTGAGGGCTTTTTATTTTGGCATTTGCTTAGCAAGTTTCTTGTAGACCTGTGCTCTCAAATGGAACATCTCTGGTTAATGCTTTTAGCCCCTGTCCCACATAGCTGCTTTTCCTGACCCTGCTGAAGCACAACTTTGCAATCACAGATTTAAATCATTTGAATTAACTCACTGTCAACTTGACAGAAATGTGAACTTTCAACAGACTAACATTGTTTAAGTCAGTTTTACAGCTAAATTATCCAATTAGTTACTCTGAGTAGGAGCACAGCCACATAATAGCATATCAATTTTAAGAGTTTCAGATTTTTACTCTTGGTTTTGGACAAATGCACAATGGAGGACTTCATTCAAATTTTGTGGAGTATTTGAAATAAAGCAAAGTTTTGTGTGATATTGTTGAGCATCTGGATTAAAAAAACCTTTAAAAAGTTGTATTCAATTTCTGTAGCTTTTTGAAGTGGATTCAAACAAGATAGTAACTCAAACCCCTTCACTTTTCTTGAAAGACTTTAACGTTCTTACTCTGCATTCATCTGCATCAGGGATGGTTATTGCACAGCACCACACGTTGTCAGATTCATTGCATGCAGTCATCTGTGCCAAAAGGAGCTGTAGCCCCAATGTTGTGTATTTATTTGTTGAAGACTGCTATATTCCCTCCTTCTCTGTTTTTACTGAGAGTGTGGTCATTCAGCATGTTTGCAGCCAGAAACTGCTGACTGAATGTATCCTCAGTGATCCAATCAGCTACAAAAGAAAATTATTTGCAAAATTGCTTTGTTCTACAGTAACAAAACAATCTCTTATACACATGGTTTTCATCTAACATTCAGAGAATTGGATTACTCAAAATCTGCTGAAATTAAATGTATAAGGCCACAAAAATATGTAATGAGCAACTGATGATTCAGTCAACCAATGAAATAACCGTTGGTCACAGTAGCAACAAATGCTAAACTTGTGAATTTAATGCAGCAGATAATTTAACTCCTACACCTGCAGGAAATCCTAGGAACAGTTTCTTACGTAAGCAGCAGCCATGTCAAATCTGGCTCTCTAAGAACTGTGTGCTATGATTTTTCTAGAAGGCTGTTGCAAAAATTACATGAGAATTCATTAAAATAAGTATTCACTTGCACTGCTGCAACGCCTGACCATCCCTGTCGCTCCCAAGCACTTGCCCAACAGCACTTCATTTAGGATGTTTTGATATTTTTCAGAGGTACCCAAACCTTGAAGAAAATGTGGCTATTCTACGTCCTTCTCCAGTACACAAACTTCTGTCCTCCTTCTGCTCTGTCATTATCCATCCCAAACCAAATTTCCTCCTTTTTGTATCAACTTGCTGATATCTGGGCTGTCAGACCTGAATTTGATGCTCCTAAAATTAAAAAGCAAACAAACCAATCCTAAAATATTGCAACCGTGTGCTCATCTGGATTCTTTAAAAACAGTGCTCTCTCAAGATCACTTTTCCTCTTCTCTTTGTTTGCTGTTGCCCTTCCTACCCACTGAAGAGCACCACTGTCACTTTCTGTTAGCTCGTCAGCCTTATTGAAATTGTCAGCTTTGCCAGTCAAGTACGTTGCTTTCCTGTTTGTCTTGAAACAGCTGTGCAAAGCAGCATGGCTGTATAACCACTGCTGCTCTGAACGCAGTGCTGCAAGCCCACATATTTGCAAGGCTGCTGTCAACAAAATCGTCACTGTAATTTTTGTAGAGTACTTTTACATTTTTATGAAGCCTTTTATTCAAAGGTTCTAAAGCATTTCATGTGGGAAAACAGAAATCTTCTTAAATATATCTAGTCATTTTTAGATTAAAACATCTATGAAAATGAAGTTTTACACTTTTCATATGACAGATAAAGACTTTCTGACAAACAATATTCAGTCTGAATTGCATTATCATTGTTTAGATATGGCCACACAAGAACAAATTAAGAGAGATCTCAGTTGCAAAGGATCTGTTACACAGATCAAATGTGGACCTGAGGAACTTGAACAGAACTGTTCCCTCTGGGTGACATTAGAGCATCTTTGAAAACAATTGGAAAGCGTCTGTTGACTTTAATGTGCCCAGGCTTTCCTCCTTGTATCCAGTGAAGACATATAGAGATGCTTATACACAACTTGGACCCAAACCGCATAACCACGAATGGTTTCCAGAAGGAATAAGTCCCAGGGAAGAAAAGACATCAGCTTTTGAAGAATTACAGGCTGTGACTCTGTTGTGGGTTGTCCTGATGTAAGTTAGCCAAAAGGGCTTGGTAACTGCAGGTAGCTTTTCAACTGTCTTGATCACTGCTTTAGGTCTTTTTCAGTAATGTATCTAGTTGAGTTTTGTATTAGTGTAGAAACTACTAAAGCTAGAGTTACACTGATTGTGTTTCCTTTTCAAAGAAGCAGCGCAAGTCTGTGTACAGCAAGTCTGTATGCTTAATATATGTCTGTTTTATCTCCCACCAATGTTCCTAACTGACTGTTGCGGGCAACCATGTAGAATAAACAGGTATTAGGAATAAGTTAGAAAGGCATGGAACAGAGAATAGACAACAGATCCTTTGATAGGTTGCAAAATCATTTAATAAAATCAGTGTACTATTTAATAATGTATCTCAAATATCATCCTCCAAGGACAGATTATGAAAAGAATGAGGTATTTGTGAACTGAGCTTTTCCCTCAGCGTGCCTTATTGCACCTCACTGTTATACAGCTTTTGTACAAAAGCCATACAATAATTAAGATTGATGATTTGAAATTATTTAATTTGTTTTGGTGTTTCAAGTAAGATTAAAATTTGCTTTTTTTTTCCTTATATGCTTTCCTTATATACTTTCACAGTACCATACAGCTCAGGTTGAAAAGATACACATCTTTCACCATTGAAAATTAAATCTGACATGAAGGGATGTCAGATGTTTGTTAAGGATTTAGAAAGCTCACTACTGACCTAAATGCTGGATTTCTAGATGTGTTCATATACTTAGGGATTGCAAATCTATACTAAGGACTCAAACTTACAAGATGGTTCACACCCACAAAAAAAAAAAAAAAAGGAAAGAAGTTGTTGATGAACACAAGTTATAGAAGGCTGCAGCCTACTGAAGAGACTGATCATCTACAGTAGGAGTTGAATATTTAAAGCAGTCTGCTAATTCGCCATATAAAGTTACAATTGTATGACCTTTTTAACTCAGTAGACACTATATATGAATTTAGATTAGCATACCAATGCAAATTACCCTACTGTTTTCTTGTATCTCTATCAGACCTGCCAAATGAATTGCCCTAAATTGTGATATTTCCCCTCCAAAAATGAGTTTACCATTTTTGTGGCAACAATTATGGGTTGCATGAGAGTAGTATGTTATTTCCTGAAATTGTAAGTAATTTAGTTTTAAGGGCTTGAAACATAGTTTTTAAGTTAAACACACATCATCTTTGTAACTGCTCAGATCATGTTATTTTCTATTTCCTGAAATACCTGTGAAGTTAAATGCAAATTAGGGGAAAGCAAATTACAACTTGTTTTGTGACCAGTGCCCGATTATATACAATAAAATTGATTCCATCCTTCATATAATATTTATCTTAATAATTATCCAATGTACTTTAGAATAGTTGAAATGATTGGGGATTCTCTCCTTGTCAGGAGTGGTTATGTTTGTTCATAGGTGTATTTTTTATTCACTTTCTGGGTCACCAGGACTGAACATTTAAAAAGTTTGTTATGCTAAATAAAAAATTATTTAATGCTTATTATAAGCAGATACAACTGCAGTTGCTCAGATAGTTTTTTATTATCATCTTTTCTAATTAATTTTTTTACCTTCAGTACTTTGACTTACAAAAAATTGATTTATTATTTGAATTTGAATATCATTATATTTAGGACTGTGTAATTAATTGTGTCTCCTTATGCTCTAAATAAGATTTGGCAGCTATAGCTAGAGTCAACTGTACCTTCATGTTTAGTTATCTGTAGCTGGGATTTTTTATTTATAGCTTTTTGTATTTGCTAATGACACTGCAGAGTTCAGGGGTGCAGACAATAGAGCACAAATCGGTGGCCTGTGTCTGCAGCCCTGCTCCATTTCAGTGGCATCAGAGTTTCCTCAATTTTTTTTCCTGCACTTGGGAATCTTCGAGGTTTGTGTCTGTCTTTGACGCTGCTAGTAATTCCAGTCTGCGCCACTAAAGCTGCATTTTTGAGCCATCCCTTGGTAATTGTTGCAAGGACTTAGACAAGTAAGACTATCCAAAGGCATCACAAAGGTCAAACTGTGGTAGAAAGTGCTCTGATTTTATCCTGGAGATTGATGCTTGTATCACCTTTTTTTCGATTCAGCAGCTAGGGTTATAAAATGTACTTGCAATCACTGATAACACGTTAGATCAGACTACAAGTGGAGTAACACAGTATTTTATATACTGTGTGTAGTTTTACCTAATGCAACAATAAATCAGTGAAGGCAGAGGTCTTTTGTAAATTTTAATGAAAATTCAACTGCTGAAAATATGGTTACTTCTGGCTGAAGTTCTAGAAATAATTAATTCACTTCAATTCTTTAAAGCTGTAAAAATTGTTTTAACTACAAACTTTCTGGGAAGGCAGTAAAGAAACAAGCAATAAAAGAAGAGGCAGTGCGTTCAATATATTATAATTACTTTGTCATTGGCTATAAGCAAACTGAGGAGAGGGGGGCAGGTTATAAAATGTACTTTGAGTCAGCTGTAAAAAATTCCCTTTCCTGAGCCTGATCTAAAAACATCTCTATTTCTGAGACAAAAGCTGGGATAATGGGCCCAATGTACCTTTTCACAGAAATAAAATAATGATAAAATTTTAAAATACTTACAATAACCTGAGGCACATTTTTACACAAGTCCAGAAGGTTTGGTGGACAGCTTTTTTTGTCACAGAATATTACTCTGCTACTCTAAAATATGCTTTTATTTTCCTGCACTGAATTGTTATATTGCAAAAGAGCAGTTATATTGTAAGTGCTAAGAGCAGTTATATTGTAAACTT